AATTTGTAGAGACAGGTTAGTGCTCTCATTACTTGCAACAATTTTATTTTCGCTTATGTGTCATTTTGCTTGAATCTAGTAGTATATATTATTCTTAGGAAAAAATGTTCAAAAAGAAGATGCTATTTCGATAAATAGTATAGAATTGATTAGTGGTCCATCTGAAGCACTGCCACGTTCTGGATCTGTGCCTAGTTTAGATCTTAAATCATTTTTGCCTTCTAATGTAGAAGAAGAACAAGTTATAGAAACTCCACAGCAGGTAATCATGTGCAATTGAATTGTCAGGAAGTTAAGATATAGAGGAAATAATCATGTGATCATATTCACTATCACATGTTTCTCTGTTGCAGACTGTGTATTGGGAATGGAAACAATACATGGAAAGTTGTGTTTTATTACTGCAAGTTGCAGCCAATATATTTACCAATATCACGTCAGAATTAGTTCTGCAAGAAGTTTTAAACTCAGCCCAGGGATATAACTTTCTTTGCCGTAAGTGTTCGTTTCAATAATATATTTTATAAAATATTAAACATGTATGTCTATTGTATATTATTTATTCATTACGAATAATAAAACCATAAAAATATGAAATGTGAAATATGAAATATGAATATATTTTGTTATTAGAATTAGCTGAAGTTGCAGCTGTTTGTAGACGTGTTAATTTTTCATACAAAGAGTTGGATATAAATATTATTGGGTTTGATGACCTGTTGATGGACATTGATCGAATCTGGGCTGAAATGGAACCTTTTTATGCAAACATACCAGTAAGTTACTTAAATGAACTATTAATATTTTTAGATATTAATGCTGTTAATATTTTTATATGTACTAATGCAAAGACACATGTACAAATGTAAAAGAAATAATGTAAAAGAAATTTTTTTTGTTCTAATATCTATTTTTAAATTTTTATGATACATCTATATTAATATATTTTAGATCGTTACTGAACTACCAGCTTGGCCATTACATCAAGGAGAATGTATATCTTGTTCCTTGTGTTTAACAGTTATCACGAGTGGTCGAGTCGTATATAATGATAATAATTATCATGTAACATGCGCAAATTTATGGCTCAATTGTGTAAGCAGTCAGTTACCAGTAATGCGATATTCTTTACTTTGTCAATCGACTATATGTCCAGGAAGCCATATTTAAATGCCAATCTGCATGTTGAAAGGTTTTCAAAAACTCAAAAAGAAAAATATGCTATTTAGACCTTATTAAGGTAAATAAAAGAACTCGGCTAAAAATGATCTTTAAAAATGGAGTTCTGATACAATTTGCATTTAATCTAATGAATGACACACATGTATATAAACAAAGTAAAGTGCAGATTCAATGTTCATTGAAATTGTTTATTATAGAGACTTATACTTTACAAAAATTCTTAATATAACATAGTCATACGATATTAATTAGCAAAAATATTTCTATATTAAGCTTAACAAAATGAATAATGATCGTATTTCAATTGCTCTAATTCTAATGCAGTATTAAGAAAAGTTCAATATTTATATTAAATAGAATCTTAAATAGAAATTTCTATATAATTAACGTTGACTCGTGTCACGTGGCCTATATACAATTCCTCTGCTCTTCATTTCTCTGATGACACCAGCTGGTAATCGTCCTGATACTGATATGGCGTAGACGCCTTTACAAAAACGATCTGAAAAAAATAGAATCTCGGCATTAACGGCCATTCTCGATGTAATTATACATATATATAGACTGAGATACAATTTTTATTCTGAAAGTGTTTGCGCGAATAGCATTCTACTTAAACAAATCTTTATAATATATACGCACATAAGTATGTTCCTAGATAAATACATACTGGCATTTGTAAGAATAATATGTCTGTATAAATGTATTATACGTTTAAAATGAAAATCTCAAATAAATATATTTATTAAAATATCTAAATACATATTATAAATAATTTTAGAATTTATAGTCTGAGCCTTCTACATACTTTTAATTTTTAGGAATTTTATTCTTTTTCTATTGGTTGACTATTTATACACATACATAAATTTAAAATAACAAAATATTTTGAAAAATTCTTGAAATCAGAAAATTACAATTATTAATAATAAAAGAATTAGTTATAAAAGAATGTTAATTACTTGAGTTATATTAGTATATTTATCATAATACTTACTTATTCTTTGCCACTTGGATACCCAACTATCTTCTGGACTCATTAGTGCGATCACTCTAAAATATAGACAATAAAATATAAGCAGGCAAAATAAATACCTAGCTAGAAATCATTTTTTTATTTCTTCATAATAAAATTATTTATTAAAATGAGACATTGTTATTTTAAATTGTTAGCCATTAAAATTAGAGAAATAATAAAAAATTATATTTAAAATATCTAACATCTTACACGTCTTAACGTCGCACTAATGTTTTACAGTGCACAACAAATTCTCAATGATTTGTTCAAAAAAGCTAATATTAAATATTCAGAAAGCTAATGTACATAAAAAAAAGAGGTCATTCTTAGCCAACTAAATATTTATTATAGTGTATTACTTATAGTGTATTACCCATCAAAGTTGGAACTTGTGCAGTCAAAAACATTATCCTTATTGTTCTTCATACGAAGAAAATCATCACAGTTATCGCATCCATCAAATTCGAATTGATCGAAAGTCTGTGGAGTATAAATATGATTGCATTTATTTTAATATATAGGGGTTCCCTTTATAGATACAAATCAATACATTGTCATTCTATCTTTGCATTACATGAGTAACAAAGACAAAACAATTTTTTTTTTTATTTATGTTCATTTGTGTCATTAGATGAAAGGCATTCACAAATACGTTCTATAGATGTTATGATAATAATCTTGAAGGGCCGATTATATTATAAGGCAATATAAGATTTATGTACCTTATATACATACCTTAATTAAAGAGCATACCAAACATGCTCTTAATCCACGTAAATCTTTTGGTACGGTCTCCATTGACATCGTATAACAAACCGTAATACTTCAACGATACCTCACGATAAATACACGTGACAAGAACACAATTCAAATTACTTTGAAATTAAAGTAATGATAGTTACAAGTATAAAATTTCTTTATGATATGCAACGATACGAATAAAGATAAACTGAGATCTGCTAAGCTCTACCGTTGATATCTATTTTAACTTTACGTTAGATAAGTTAAAATGAGGTTAGATTAGGTTACAAGTATCACTAGAATGATCATTGACCTGCGTTCAGCAAATTCAATAGTATTGCAACCACAACAATTTTATGACTCTCTGCGCTGATTGGATCATACTTTTAGATCTAGAAGAATAGTCCTATCTCAGCAGAGAATCATAAAACGGTTGCAAAACTGTTGAATCTGCAGGGGATCGATTCTATATCTTGAAATAAGGAACATTATAAAAGTGAGCAAATTTACTAGAATATTAATTATTTCATTGATCAACACCTAGTAAATTTGCTCGCTTTTGTAATTTTCACCTTTGAAGATACAGAATCGACCCTCTGAACGTAGTCATCCAGTCAGAAATAATAATTGAATCGACATCGATTCGATGTCGAATCGATGTCGATTCGATGTCGATTTCATTACCATTTCTGACTGGGCATTTGAAGTTCTGGCTACCACTAACTACTACGAGTATTACTGAGAATGCTCCTTGCAGTAGAGCAAAAGTGGAGACAGAAGACCTGTTTTTTTAGCTGAACTTCTTGCACGATTCATCTTTTCTCTTTTTCTCTCCAATATGGAGAGAAAAGGAAGAAAGATAAACTGTGCAAGAAACTTTAATTAAAAAGAACAGATCTATTAGTCGCGGTGTCCGTGCATCTCTTTGCTCTAGATTTATAATCTTTAATGACAGAATGTGCCTATAAGCCAAAATTAAAGTTTGAAAATCCTTGGAATTTTAATAAACATTTTTTGATTAATAATTTCCTAATATTATATTTTTGAAAATTTAATTCCGATATAAGTACAAGATATTAACGGTTGGAAATTTTCTCGAAATTAATTGTTAAAAAAGAACCCTAACAACACGTAATATCTAAAAGACGTTTTTACATGATATCTTTTAGAAATCTTTTAGATATATATGTACCAATTAAAAGATCTTTATAACGTCTTTTAGACATGCATGTTATCTGAAAATTATAAACAACAAATCTATGTTTGATAAAGTGGTATGCAATAGCTGTATCTAATGTTGATAAAATCTCCAATCTTTCTTGCTATTTAAATTTAAAAAATCGACAGAATATTATTAGTATAAATTATAGATTAAGAAATAATATATTAAATATAAAAATATTGCAATTTTGAGAATTTTTGAATCGCAAAAATTAAATCAATAAAGCATGAGGAGAATAATGAAGGAAAATAATTGAAAATTTGTCATATCACATATTTATTAGAGAAATCTCTTTGGTACTCTCTGGTAAGATATTTTAATTAGTTTTACAACATCGACGCTAATGTGTTATTTGGCAGCGATTCTGCGTTTTGCTTACACGTGAATGCTATCTACATATTTCATAGAAATTATTAGCTGTATCAGCATCGGTAGAAAGTTACACGTTAGTAAGGCTGCGTGCCAGGAAAATATACGAGATATGAAAATATAAGACATATTATGTACGAATGCATTTAGCTTCTCACATGATTGTGGACTGATTTCAATGACTCATCATCATTATTGCCGTCATCATCATCATCATTATCATCATCATCATCATCATGTTATAAGATATTGTCTGAAATTCTACGCTTACTACCAGATTTGATTCATATGTGGCTACAGGAACACCAATCTAACTGTATAAAAAAAGAAATGACTACTGTTCTTCCATCCACATGTGAAGTAAAGAAAGACTTTGTTACGCGTAGCGTAACGAGTAGCGTCAGTGTTATGTCTTGGCATGAAATGGAATTATATGTTGCTGCTGTTGCGATTTATCAACTATAGCTGCTAGTCTTCATCCTTGAAGCGACGATAGATGGACTGAACATATGTGAAAACGCACTTCCAGTCTGGTCGTTGCATCATCACCATGTCCTCGACGTCAAGTAAAGGCGCGATTCCAGCGACTTCGCTACAAGAAAGAAGATTTCTTTGGTTTGTGAACAACAAAAAAAATGTTTAACACAATTTTACGCAAAGAAGGTCATATTCGAAAAAAAAAGAAATGATTAATAAACTCTTGAAAACAAAAACAATTATAGCATCTCGATGCGAAATAAAAAATTTGGAGCTCTTACTCAGCCTTCGTAAAAGCAAGTTCGAAGTTTTTCCTGCGATTCTCTGGACGTAGAGAATTGTAGTCGAAAGCATCTGGTCTAAAATGATGGATCAACGCGCAGAATGCTAAACCATTGTTCCAGCTTGTCGAGAAGTTGTCAAGCTGTACATTCTGAAACAAAGGAGTTTTTATATTATGTAATTCATTTAATAGCTCATTAAATGCAGCGCGCTTTCCCTTGATAGATAACAAGACTGTCATAAGAATTTATGAATAACGGATCAATATTATTTTAACACACGAATTTACCTCATACTCTTTGGTTTTTGATCGACACCATGTTAGTAATCGCTCCTTAATTTGCGCAGCGTTATCTCGTACAGTTGGTTCGGTAAATTTGAATCGAAATTCCGTTGCCGGTGATTTTACAGGACTAAATAAACAATTCAGAAACAGAAAATGAATCACTCAGCAAGATATGAATTGATTAATAAATTATCATATTCTATCTCTCCCCCTATAAGAAAAATTACACAAATTAAAAATATAAAATTTTTCAAGTAAGAGGAAAAAAAGTTATGTATTATAAAACTAATTATTTAAATGTATTAAATTATTTAAATGTATTAAAAATAAGTTAACTGGAGTTAAATATATTGCTTGTTTCAAGTTTCAAGTCTAGAAATATAATTAACTTTTCTGTCAAGGCATAATTTTTTATTTTTCCATTATCCATTGAAAGAAGACTAAATGTTATGGTGTTATGTTAAACTCCTAAAAACTGTCTCCTTTGATTTTTCCAGTTTGCAATTTCTTTTCGACTCGAATTAAATTTATATCACTTTTTCTGATATATTTAGAACATTATGCGCTCATAATTCGCACGAAATTCAAAGAATTTTGACTTGTCACTCTTTTTGCGAGAGTGCGATATCTTTTTTTGCTCTATTAGATTCTTCTTTAATCTCCTGTCGCGTTAAAAACAACCACGTAATCCTTAATTATATGTAATTTTAATTTCTATTCTCACCTTGGTGACAAACAGGCGCTATTTTGTCTATCGAGTTGACGAAACTTGGCGAAAGGTGACAGCGGCTTTTTCGAAGCTGAAAAACGAACAAGGCGTTGTAAAGCTACAAATGCTTAATGTTTAAAAGAGCATAATATGTTAGACTCATATAGAGATGCATACTAGATCTGATTGAAATGTTAATGTCTCTCTATATCTATTTTAATTGTCTATAATTGAATCCTGCGGTCACAAAGGAGTCAGAGGTGCGATTTATTAGAAAGTCTGGATCTAGCAGAATCGTTCATCTCTATCACTCTCGTCGTGTGCCCGTGACATGCATTAGTTATCTTACAAACAAATTCAATAACAGTTTAGTATGAAAAAGAACAGGATATGGCGAAGAATACATATGTATCTGTACAGATATTAATTGTTCAAGTATCTCTTTAGTAATTTTCGACTAGTAACGAGGAAATAACAAACCTGCAGAAAAAGGAACGTTTGGATTTGTTTTGGATTGAATTTCATTGTAAAGTGGACAGGCTAAATTCGTCGATCGACCGACATCGATCGACACCACCGCCATGCACGAGCATTGAAAAAATATGTCCGTGCGCGTGTACACATCACGCACGCGCTTGTACATCACGAGGTGTGGCAGCAAGTAAGGGTATATTTGCCAATCAGGCGACGCGTTTAGTTCTCTAAAGCTGATGTGGTTATAATTATGTGGATCTATTGGACCCACACAAAAAGAAACCAAAAAGGAGCATTAAAAGTTTAAGTCAATTTCGAATCAGAAATTTTTTATGTTTAGATTTGTTGTTGAATGTACAAGTGAACGTAAATCTTTTGTCATTAATAAATAGCTTTACTGTCTGTTAATTTATTTCTGAGAATCAATTGCGTTTTTCATACAAATTTGCTGAATGACTGTTTCAAATATCAAAGCAAAACTACGCGTCAAATCAAAAAATTGTTGGTTTTGTTTTCAACACTCATAATAAGATTGTCCCTACATTAGCTCAATAACAACATCCTTCATGTACATACATCCGTCCAAAAAGTTGCTTAAAAAAAGTTTCTTTGTATATAAAGAAAAAGATGATAAATGTACATTATATTAGAAAAACATTACATGCGTATGTAATTGTAATTATTAATTTTTCATTATTGCGCGCACTACAATATATTTCATGAATATAAAGAATTCTATTAAATTTTCGGAAATATTGGCTACTTGGATGTAATACATTCCGCGAATAGTGCGAAACATACAATTATAATTGCGCATCGTGGAGTCTTAAGTGACAGAAAAATATCGCTTTTGATTTTTATCAGCGCCCGTATTTTCGAGAGATGTTTTCGAGAGATCTGAGCTGAGTTACTCAGGCCACCACAGCATCGCTATGCTCTGCAATTGTACCAGCGCGCGTACATTACGATTACACTCTTAGACACACTCGTAGCAGTACAAACTGTATACGCCACTGCGTAACAAAAGAATCAACAAAAATAAGGGCTGTGACTCACTGCTTTATTCGGGGATTGGCATGGTCCTCTTAGCGACTCCGTCCGCGAGAATGTGCGCTCGCGACTTGGGTTTAAATAAAAAAAGAGAGAAGAAAAAATATTGAGAGGAAAAGTTGAGAGAAAGGGGAGGAGCACGTGGATCACGAGCATCGTACGTGTAAAGGGTGTGAATGTTTTATACGTAGATTTTGTGGCTCGTAGTTACGTGCATCAAGCCGAATAACAGCAATATAACTGATGCGCTGCATGATGTTCTTTATTTTTTGCTGATTACAGCAGATTTCATAAGTGGCTCCATGTTGCTCGATTTTTCGCGCTCACGTGATGATTTTGAGCGAGAAGAACGAAGAGTGAGATGCTGGACATCGGCGGTGACAATGGTCGTTGAATCTATTTGCACTACCGTCTTTCGTAATGGACAAAGACCATGTATCGGCCAATTCCGCCGTGCAAGAAACATACTGCTTTCGCAGAAGACTATGTAGCTTCGAGAACTGCATCGTTAAAAAATGCTTTTGTCCCTCAAAGATGCGGCTTCTAATCAGATTTGTTAGATCTATTCTAATATTGTGAGCTACGAGTACGAAAAGAGCTAGTACTTCTCGATTACAAGAGAATTACGCGCAGCAAATTAGATTAGATTTCAAACTGACGTAATTAGGTGTATAAGCTTAAATCCGCTGTTTGCTCACAGGTGGCATTAGTGAGCGTACAAAGCTACCCTGGGCATACAACACACTTTTTTTTATGTATTTGACATCTGTCAACATCTGTTAACCAGTGCACATCATCAGCAATTTCATACAACAATACATTTTTTTTAGCAATTTCATACAACATACATTTTTTTCTTTCGTAATCATGTCTAGTTTTTTGCTAAAAAAAAAGCATATGCGGGAAGCTTTGCTTTTCTGTTTCAATTTGAAGAAATCGGCTGCCAAATCGCATCGAATGCTTGTAGAGGCCTATGGCGACAATGCTTTATCGAAAACAACATGCAGAGATTAGTTTCGCCAGTTCAATGACGACAATTTTGACCTGAGTGACAAGAAGCGTGAAAATCAGCCCAGGAAGGTTGAGGACTGTCAATTGCAGGTTTTTTTGGACGAGGACGATACCCAATCGCAAAAAATGCTTGCCGAGCAATTGAATGTTTCTCAAGCAGCCATTTCCATGCGGCTACATGCCATGGGGAAGATTCAAAAGATCGGAAAATGGGTGCCGCATGAACTGAACGATAGGCAGATGGAGCGACGCCAAAATACATGCCAAATGCTTGCCAGACAAAAAAGTCGTTCCTGCATCGGATTGTGACAGGGGATGAAAAGTGAATCTATTTTCAGAATCCTAAACGCAAGAAATCTTTGGGATTGATCCCGCCCAACCATCAACATCTTCCTCAAGACCAAATCGCTTCGGACGGAAGACAATGCTGTGCGTTTGGTGGGATCAGGAGGGTGTCATTACTACGAGCTGTTAAAACCTGGTGAAACTGTTAATGCTCACCGCTACCACCAACAACTGATCAAATTGCTCTGCGTTTAAAAAGGCCGCATTATCGGAAAAGACATGACAAGCTGATTTTCCTCCACGACACCATCACACACGTCAATAATGGTCCAAAACTACTTGGAAACATTCAACTGGGAAGTGCTACCCCATCCCGCTTACTCACCAGACCTGGCACCTTCTGACTATCATCTGTTTTCGTCGATAGGTCACGCGCTCGCTGAGCGGCACTTTGATTCTTACGAAGACGTCCGAAAATGGCTTGATGATTGGTTTGCCTCGAAAGATGAGAAATTTTTTTGGCGTGGTATACACAAATTGCCCGAAAGATGGGAAAAATGTATAGTTAGCGAGGGCAAGTACTTTAAATAAATTTGTTTTTGCTTCCTAGGAAAAAAAAATGTGTTTTTCTGACTAAAAAACAATGGATTTAAGCTTATACATCTTCAGTTTCTTTTAAATTATCCATAAAAGATGACTAATTTGTAGATTGAAACAGCTAGCATTTTGTACAAAATGCAATTGAATAAATAATACTGAATTTTTTTTAAGAAGTAGGCTATTCTCGAAATACTAGTTGAAGCCAACTTGAAGGGAAGTAAAAGAACAGTTAAATCTCAGTTAATCTCAAAATCTTAGTTAATGTTTACAGAAAGTCTTGTGAAAATAAGTGACCAACAATAATTATATGCAAACTTCTAATATAAACAATCTGATTAGAATTAACCGGCTATGTACGTAACGATGCGTCCTGAATTATAACTGCTGATGGCAGGCTATGCGAATTAAAGTAGACAAGATCACAGTTTAACGATCCATATTATCAATCAATTATGTTGTATATTTGTGATGAAATTAATGATGATCATAGAATCATTATTTTATCACGAACGTTGTTCAACACAGCGCGAAATATCGATCAGCTCTCGAAAAATTACTCGCAAAAATCCCGAACGGACACCACTTTTACCGTCACCAAGTCTCCCAAGTGAACATCATGCCGACATCTTACGACGATGAGGATCAGTCGATTAGAAGTGGTCATCAATCCTGGTGGCCTCTTCGAAGATGTCATCAAATACTTTGTCCACATCAGCACTATTAAGGCTCGCCACGGAAATCTGTGGCACTGCTGGGATCGTCAGGCGCAGATTCTCTTCGCATATTCCTGGCATAGTGCGACTTCGTGATAGACCAACAAGACCTTTTTTTACTGAATCGCGGGACGAGAAACGTCTACCCTTGGAATCCTTCGTCTCCATGGCACCATCGTTTGCTGGATTATCAAAATATCTGCGTATTTTATCCTCCATCTTTTTCACGCTGTCCAAAGACGAGGATGCCTCGTATTGTTTTTTCATCTTAAAGGACGATGGTGACTTTGGCTTAGGTGGTTTGGGAAGATAAGATCCGGTGCCAGAGAGAGATTGCGGAGGCAAATTGCTCTGCACTGGACGCGATGGAGCGTGATGGCTCTTCGAGAGTGCTAGCTGATGCCATGATTCGGACTTCGATAGGACGATGGATCTGGACGGTCTATTGGTACAGGACACAAGATACTCGTCGCTGGAATCCATCGCGCCGCTTGTTCCGCTCGGGATTGGCGAGCGTTCCTTTTGCATGGATTTCGATTGACTGTCCGGTTGCTCATATTGTTCTCTGAGAGCGGTAATCCGATTCTTCGAGCTGAATCCGGAGGATGATGCTACTGATAGTAAACCGGTAACAATCGTTGAAGGCTCTAATTTTTTTGACGGCTCCAACTTTCTCAGCGGTTCCAACTTTCTTGATGGTTCCAACTTTCTCGATGGTTCCAATTTCCTCGAAGGTTCCAACTTTCTCAAAGATTCCAACTTTCTTGAAGATTCCAACTTCCTTGATAATTCCGATCTTTTCGGTGGTTCTGGTCTTTTTGATGGTTCCGGACTTTTCGACACTTCTACCGGTTGGAATCTCAGAGATTGATTAAAACTGTTAGGTTGATGAAGACTAGGCTGATTAAAATTGCTAGATTGATTGATGACAGGCATATGATAATCATTCAGCATCACTCGTTCATTCTGCAACTGTCGGACCAGGCTCTGTTGTAGCAAGTTGTGTCGACGTATTTCGTCTTCGGTCGTGATGGTCTCGCTATTAGTTGAGTTGGGATATGGCCAGAGCTGTGAGGGTGACGAGGAAGAGGATATTCCAGATGGTGACATTTCGGATTCCGGTCTAGCTCCGTCGACACGTGTCGGTAGAACGTTCTCAGATGCAACAGTCGCGATCGCACAGGTATACCGTGTAACGACACCGGTGTCCGCACTGATATCCTGATTTTGTATATTCTGTTCCTCTGGCAAAGCACCATCACTCGTACACAGGAAATCTTCCTTATCGATCTCATGCGACGCGCTTGACATCTGATCCTCGAACGGATCTTTATTAGATTTAACGTACGGGATATAAGTCGGATATATTGGTGATCGATTATCAATCGGTTTAAGTGAAAAATAATTTTCGCATCGCGGACTCGTTCGAAAGACTAGTTCGTGCTGTTCT